TCCTGCTCCCCGTGGGGTCCTGTGCCTTTAGCCTCCTGCTCCACCTGGGGTCCCGCCCCTTCAGTGTCCTGCTCCACGTGGGGTCCCGGCCCTTCAGCCTCCTGCTCCCCGTGGGGTCCCGCCCCTTCAGTGTCCTGCTCCACGTGGGGTCCCGCCCCTTCAGTGTCCTGCTCCCCGTGGGGTCCTGCTGCTGCTCCCCATCTCCCTCTAGCTGAGGTGGAGCATGTCCTCTCTACCCAGTGATAGGTGCCACTGCATTACTATTTCCTAAGTTGTCAGTAGAAGTGTCACTGCTGATCCCTAAGCCGTGTGTCGGTGGTTCGAATCCACCAGTGCCTGCGGGAGAAGGACTGGTGCTCTCCTCCCGTGTGGCCTGTCCCCTCGGGAACCTGCTGGGAAGTCAGTGGACAGCAGTGAGCTTTTCAGTTTCCCAGAGGCCAGGAGGAGAGTTGGGGGTGCACAGCCGGAGACCTCGGCCTCCTGGCCTCCCACACTGCCTGCCCTTTGTCGCGGACGCACCTCTGCCCAGGCATGGGGTTAGTGGACATCTTGGAAGTTGCCGTTGAATCTGCTGCCCTTCGTGGAGACCCTGTGGGTGCCACAGAGCCTCCCCCACTGGCCTTCCTCCCCAGGTGCCTGCTGGCAGCCTTGAAACCCCAGCCTTTTGGCTGACAGCCGAGTGCATGAGCTAGTTGCACCCCCAGGAGCCCTCTCAGAAGATAGGGCGTTCAGTCCTGCCCCATAGGGTTCAGTGACTTCCCAGAATTCCGCTCACTTGCTCAGGAAAGGCTGCAGGGGGTGAACATGTGGGCGGCAGGTGGCCACGGGGTGGCCCGGCCACTGCTGTCCTTTGCCTCTCACCTTAGCCCTGTTCTCCCCTCAAGGAGGCTGAGTTTCCAGAAGAGCTGGGGAGAAAGCAGGGAGAGTTGATTGCCAGCTTGGGGTCGTTTCACACTTGTGGGGGGGACTTCACCAGGAAGACCATTGTCAGGATGGGTGGGACATGTTTGCCATTAATATGGAAAATGAATAGCTGGCTCTAAACGGACTCCCGGGGAGTGCGTGGAGCCCGCCGAGAGCACATTAAAGTGTCGGCACGCCATTGGTGCTAATCACGTCAAATGTGTGCCTTTATTAGAGCCGTAATGAGAGCCACTTAAACTGCGCATTAAGAAGACGAACTGCAGAGAGGCTGGCGGCCGGCGGCCCTCGGAACTAATTGAAATGCTTTTAGCGCGGAGGGAACTTGCTCGTCCAGGAATCTCTGGCACTTGCCCGCAGCCACCGGCGTGTCCTTGCTCGGGTGCTGCGGCAGCTGGACAGCGGCTGGGCTGCACCACCGTGTTGACCAGTGCCGCACACGCTCGGTCTCCTGGCAACCTAGACACCGGGCCCTGGGTCTGAGATGCGTTCTGGAACATTCCTTGAGCAAGGAAGGGATGTGTGTGCAGCGTACAGCCTGCGGAGCTGAGGGTAGACAGCTTTGCTTTGAGCCGTCAGGGGAGATTGGTGCCCAGTGTGATAAGTAAATAGTGCCCTTTATCTTGAGGAAATGCTGGCCGGGGAGACCAGCACCCTGTGTTTTAAAAGGGAGACTGGCACCCCATTTTCCTACAAAATCAGCAATACAGGCATTCAAGGTTTCACAAAGGCCAGCAAGCAGAGGGGGTGAACTGGGCTTCCGTCTGAGTCTGTCTGGTGCAGGTCCCCCTTTAGCCTCTGCTTCCTGGTGGCTTCGTCCATCAGAGGATTGGTGTCCCCTGTCCTCACGGGGCATTGGCTCAGAGTGGGTAGGCAGGTGCTGGCTGAGTCTTCCTGGCTCTGGGACCACGCTTTGCCCCTAAGGGTCGTTCCTTGCCCCCATGTGACGCTTTCCTCATCTCCTCATGGGGGAGGGTGGGCGGAGGCGGAGGGACTGAGCTCAGCTCTGAGCCTGTCTCCCCTGCTGGCCCTGCAGGGGTCGGGGAAGGAAGGAGGCAGGAGGGCCACACTGCTGATGTCCTGCTGCTGGGAAATTGCAGGCTTGTTTCCTGTAACCAGAAAACCGGGCAGCTCGGCTCTGCAGAGGGGAGCTGCTCACGCCGCCCAGGCCTCACGCTGCCTGCCATTCCTTCCGGGCAGTCTGTGATCCCCTTAGGACAAGTGTGGACACAGAGCTCAGGCCCCGGTGTTGACCAGTGTCCCAGGAGCTCCTGGCCTGGCCTGGGTCAGCCCAGCCACACCTCTGTCTTTACCTGCTGGTGGCCGTGGTCACTGTGTAGCCTGGTCTGCACCCACCACCCACTATAGGGGCCCTGATCTCCCTCTTCACCCTGCCTGCCCGTAGTCCCTGGCATTGCTCTGCCGTGTCTCACTCTTGTCAGTTCTTTCTGGAGAAATGAGCTTGTGGCCGTGGAACAGGGTGACCGTGAATGGGAGCCACCCCTCGTTGACTGTGTTCACACACTCTGGTTCTAGAACGTCCTCCCTGTGCAGTGCTCACCTGCTGGCTCCAGGGCTGTGGAGGTGGTGCTGGTGTCTCTCCTGGGCTTCGGGGTCACCGAGCTGGGGGCCTCTGCTCCTCTCCATCCCGCCTTCTCCCTGTGTGGCTGCCTCGCCCCTGCCCTGAGCACTCAGGATTCTCTTTTGGGGGGTTTCACCCTTAGACTTGGCCTCTCAGGTTGGTGCAGAGACCAGCTGAGTGTGGGGAGGAGGTTGGACTTCCTGTCCTTCCCTCAGAACTGTGGACAGTGGGGCTTGAGACCTGGCCGTGGGCTTTGAGGCGCCTGGCTACTCTTTATGGCCCTCTGTGGAAAGCAGGACCTGCTGTGCTGGCCCCCTGGGGTCTCGGTCCTCCACGCTGCGCGCCTAACACCCATCTCTCTGCACTAGGCTTCTTCCCCGGGAGCTCCCAGGGCTGCGACGCCTTCCTGCGCCACAAGATGACCCTCATCTCGCCCATCATCCTCAAGAAGTATGGCATCCCCTTCAGCCGGGTACGTCGCGTCCACGCGCCCCTGCCTGTGCAGGGAGGTTCGTGGGGCTCGGGAGAAGGTTCTAGAACAGTGGCAGGCCGAAGAAGGGCTTGCAGTTAGCCCTGAACTTCTCATGGGCAAGAGGGCTGAGAGGAGAGAGAGGAGTTGGAGGCAGGCGCGTTTCCCCTTCTCTGTTGTCTCCTGCCTGGTCTGGTCTGCAGGGTGCCCCTGTGCGGGTCCCCCGATAGGTAGTGGGTGCAGGTTGGAATGGGGGTGGTAGAGTGAGGGGCACAGTAGGCACTTGACAGTGGAGGTGCCAGGCTCACCCCTCAGGGGCTGGCCCTTGCAGTCTGGGAGCAAGGACGCTGTGTCAGCTGGCCACCTGCAGCCCCTCAGCAGTTCTGGGCTGGAAATGGCGCCTTCCGGATGCTGCTGCTCCCTTGTCTGGATTCCTTCTCAGGAAAACTTGGGGAGGACTCTTCTGCCTTCTGGGGTGGACACCTGGTGCCTTGGACCCACACCCTCAGGCTGGCTGGGTGCTGGCCGAGGTGGTCACCTGGTGCCCCGGGCCTGTGCCCTCGGGCTGGCTGGGTGCTGGCCGAGGTGGTCACCTGGTGCCCCGGGCCTGTGCCCTCAGGCTGGCTGGGTGCTGGCTGAGGCCATGCAGAGGGACCTCCACATCCTCAGAGCAAGCGAGCACCTGCTTAGAAATGAAATACCGAGCTCCCCTCAGCGTGGAGACTGTGAACTCATCCAATTTCCTGCTCCAGGGGCTGCTTCTCTTGTCCTCGCGGAAGGCATGGTGGATGAAATCTGGTTTGCAGGCGCCTGTAGGGCCTTCCTGCGCCAACGGTGGCAGGACAGGGCTGGCCCTGGCCACAGCCTTTGCCCCTGCCCTGCAGACAGTCCTGGGACTAGGTGGACAAGCCCAAAGCTGAGTGTGATCAAGGGCCAGGTGACACCACAGGTCTTACAGCCTGTGTTCCCCGACTCCAGGTGTGTTTAGGCCACGTCCCTCCAGAAAGGCTTGGCCTGGGACAAGCTTTCCCGAGGCCAGGAGGGCGGGGGAGCGGAGGGCCCTCCAGGGAGAGTTTTGAAGGGTTCCCGGAAGAGCAATTTGTCAGGAGCTGGAGCGAGCTGTGATCAGATCCCCCGCTCCTCACTGAAGAGTGTCAGCAGCTCGGAAATTGCTTCTGACATTTCAATCTCGGCGCCTGCAGCGGCCGGATGCGCTCCTGTCTGGGCCCAGGCTGGCTGCTCTCAGATGCAGCTTCCCGCTCCCCCAGCTCCTGGGCTGAAGGGGGTTCCTCCCTTACCAGGACGTGGCAGCAGAGCTGGCCCTGCTCGCAAGAGGGGCAAGTGCTGGCCTTCCGGGCAGTCTGCCGAGGCCTTTCTAGAATGCTGGTTCCGTGGGAGGCAGAACCATGGCGGGTGCCCCTTCCTCCCTGGTCAGTGACAGTGAGCAGAGGCCACAGGCATCCGAGAGAGGTCACCCCAGCAGTGACCGCCAGGCAGGGCTCCCTCACCCCACTCCCTGTGGTGACCAGCAGTGACAGGCAGATGGGCCTCACTCGCCCCCAGGTCCTGTGGTGACCAGCAGAGACCGCCAGACAGGGCTCACTCACCCCCGGCCCTGTAGTGACCAGCAGTGACCACCAGACAGGGCTCACTCACCCCCACACTGCCAGGCCCTGTGGTGACCGAATGGCATCTTGTCCCCTGTGACTGGGGCTGGACGAGTCTCTCTGAGCCGCCAGCCGCTGGCGTTCTCTGGACCCTCCAGGCTTGAGATACGAGGGTCCCTCATCTGAATTCCCAGTAGCCTTCAAAGGAGTGACTATCTACACTCCACTTATAAATCTCTGTAATGGTATTTACTCCTCGAAGGGAAAGCAGATCAATAGCTGAGCTTTTTAATAATTAAAAGTGTGTATTTCTGTAATCTGCCATTGACTTCCCCATTTATTGTGTGAGAGCTTCCAAGGCCTGAGGCAGCGTTCCGGGCCCTCCCTGCCGGCAGCCGACACCCCCGCTCCACTCGCCCAGCTGTGCGGTCTATCCATCATCCCGCGCTTTCTAATTTATTGTCGGGATAACGGTGACAGTGGTGACACGGGGGACAGACCCCGTGGGCTGGCAATGAAGACGCCAGCATGTACGTTTCCTGACAGCAACATAATCTTCCTGTCGTCTGATGGAGTGCATCTTCTTTTCCGGCCTTGATTTACGGACAGGCCATTCACGAAGGGGCCACCCGACCTGATGCTGCCCCTACCCCGTTCCCGGCCACCACCCACCTCACAGACCAGGGAACACACCACCCCCTCACAGGCCAGGGGACACACCACCCACCTCACAGGCCAGGGGCACACCACCCACCTCACAGGCCAGGGGACACACCACCCACCTCACAGGCCAGGGGACACACCACCCACCTCACAGGCCCAGGGACACACCACCCCCTCACAGGCCCAGGGACACACCACCCCCTCACAGGCCCAGGGGACACACCACCCACCTCACAGGCCCAGGGGCACACCACCCACCTCACAGGCCCAGGGGCACACCACCCCCTCACAGGCCAGGGGACACACCACCCACCTCACAGGCCCAGGGGCACACCACCCACCTCACAGACCAGGGGACACACCACCCCCTCACAGGCCAGGGGACACACCACCCACCTCACAGGCCCAGGGGCACACCACCCACCTCACAGGCCAGGGAACACACCACCCACCTCACAGACCAGGGGACACACTACCCACCTCACAGGCCCAGGGGCACACCACCCACCTCACAGACCAGGGGACACACCACCCACCTCACAGGCCCGGGGGCACACCACCCACCTCACAGGCCAGGGGACACACCACCCACCTCACAGGCCAGGGGACACACCACCCACCTCACAGGCCAGGGGACACACCACCCACCTCACAGGCCAGGGGAAACACCACCTACCTCACAGACCAGGGGACACACCACCCACCTCACAGGCCCAGGGGCATCGGTGTGGAGTTTGAAGCTTGACGTCATGGGGATCCTGCTGCCTTCCACAGGCCCCAAGATGCCTCCAGACTTAAGCTTGGTCCCCACCCTGTGTCCGGCTGAGCATGTGGGCCCTGCTGACCAATGGGGCCAACCAACTTGGAGGTGGGCTAGGATGGGCTTCCAGGGTCAGCTCAGGTGGGGTAAGAAAACCAGTCATGATGTGTTTCTGAAAAAAAAATCTCACCTCTTCAGTTCAATTGGGACACCGTGCCCACAGAGGCCATGTCCAGGGGCTGGTGGGATCGGGTGTTCCTCTCACCCCTGGCTCCTGCCTCTAACTGACTCCACCACATACACTTGTCACTTGGAAGCAAATTTGAAAACATAACTTAATGCATGCTGCCTCTCCTTGATTGGTGCAATTAATTATCGGAAAAGAAAAATCTCTCCGTGTTCTCTAGACCTGGATTTTCTCAGGCTTGTCAGTTTTGATTGATTTTTGACTCTAGCTGGTTCTTGAAGTCCCACTCCCCCACCTCCAGCTTCTGCCACCTCCTCGCTCCCTACCAAGGCGCTGTCTTCTCATCAGTTACTTAGAGAAATCCAGCCATCAGCACTTACCCATCAGGGGAGCAGAGTGGAGGAGCGGGCTGAGAACACCCCCCAGTCCACAGGGAAACGACGAACAAATGGATCAACGCGGGCTGAAGGACTTGAGTAGATACTGGCTGAATCGACGTGATGACGGCGGTCCCGTCCTCCCACAGGAATGACTGGAGCGACATCCCCAAGTGCTGACGGGGAGGGGAAGCACGCCTGTCCTGGGACGCCGCTGGCTCATGACCCAGGTGTATCGACTGGAGAAATGAGAACAAACGTCTACAAACGAGTAGATCAGAAAAGAAGTGAATCAGGGCTGTGTCCTTTCTCCGCACCTAGCCCCTGGACGGCCAAGAGAACAAACAGCCATGTCTTGGAGAAGGTTCAGCCAGAGTGCGCCTGGGAGACACAGACAAAGCTGCCTCTCACAGGTTTGTTGTGAATCGTCTCTGTTCCGGGGAGAGGGACCTCGTGCCTGGAAAGGTCAGCAAAAGAGAGGAAGACCCTCAGCTGACCAGATGGACTGACACAGTGGCCGCAGCAGTGGGTCAAGTGCGTCCGATTGGAAGGACGGCACAGGAAAGGACAGGGTTTAGGGCTGTCGCTCACAGGGTCGCTGTGAGCCGGACTTGACTCGGTGACACCCAGTAACAGCCACCCCCAGTTTGTGTGCCAGCCAAGTCACGCACGAAGCCAGGCTACGTGAAGAAGAACGTGGCATCAGGACTGGAGGGACACTTAGCAGCAGGCGACACACCCTGTGTGCACATAACATGATGGAGGGGTCGCCTTCAGGATGGATTATGCTTGAAGGTGAAGAAGGCGAAGCTTGCCACCAATAAAGAGCATCATGAGAAGCGGTCAGTGGTCTCCTCCTGCTTGGGTCAACAACCACTGCCCTGGAAACAGCAGTTAAACCACACTGCCTTTCGCAGTGGGCAGGTCGGCTGCCACGGACCTAGTTACGGTGCTAAAGAGCAAGGATGTCACTTTGAGAACTAAGGCGCACCTGACCCAAAGCAGCTTTTTCAATTATATAGTATTTTCATTACTCAGTAGTGTTTTCCACTTGGCTCATTTGACTATGAAAAAGGAAGACTGAAGAACCGATGCCTTTGAATCACGGTGTCTGTGCGGAATATTGGTTGTATCAGGAACTGCCCGAAGAGTGAAGATCTTGAAGAAGTGTAGCCAGAAAGTTCCTCAGAGGTGAAGATGATGAGCCTTCGTCTCATGTACTTTGTATGTCTTGTCAGGAGGGGATGGTCCCTGCAGGAGAACCTGATAAAGGGGAGGGTCAACCAAAAGGAGGGGGCCCCTGCATGAGATGGATGGGCGTGGTGGCCGCCACAGTGGGCTCAGACTCCCCGTGACCAGGAAGGCGGCCAGGATGGGGAGCGTGGTGTTCTGTTGACCAGGTCACCGGAGTCGAGTTGGCTCGATGACAGATCATGACAGCATCCACCCCAAGGTGCTGCACTGTGGTTCCTGAGTGCTCAGACCGGAGACAGGCCAAGTGTCCGTCAGCCGGAGGACTGCGGCGTAGACGAGGGTTGACCCACATGATATCCTGGGCAGAATTGTGGGTCCATCGTTCTGCCTGTCAAAGAGAGGCCCGAGCCCCTTGTCCCTGTGAAGGTGACCTGGTTTGTAAACTGGGTCTTAGTGGGTGTAATCAAGTTAGGATGGGCCCTGCTCGAGCAGGACGTGCCCTCGTGCAGTCTGAGGGAGGAGATGCGAGGACAAGCGCAGGGGCAGTGCCACAGGAGGGGCAGCGGGGGGAGGGACACAGCTCTGCCCAGCCCCTGCTGTCTGCGGCCTGCAGCTGGGAGGGGCCAGGAAGACCCTCACCTGGAGCCTTCCAGGGAGTGCACCCCCCCACCTTGATTCCCTGCTTCTGGCCTTCAGTCAGTGAGAGTAAATTTCGGGTGTCTGAAGCCCCCTCGTTTGTAGATAAAGAGCTCTGGGGGCATAGTGAATAAGGAATTGTTCTTCCAACCCAGAGGCAGGCAGTTTGAATCCACCGGCTGCTCTGTGGGAGAGATGGGCATCTCATGGGAGGATGCGCCCTCCTGGGCGAGTGGCAGCTTCTGCAAACCCACTGGGGGTCAGTCAGGAGTCATCTGCGTCTCAACAGCACACAGCCACAACGGTTTGGATGCTTTGCTGCATCTCGAAGTCCCACTCGGGACAGGGTGGCTGGCCTCTAGTACTGGCAACAGAGCCACCCGCCTGGGCTGCTGGCCACGTCCCCTCTGGAAAGCACTGGTTGACTGGCACGTGGAGTTCTCACGAGGGATGTGACCCTGGCCACTGCCAGATCCCCGGCTTGTTCATGGTCCCCAGCACCCCTGGCTCAGTCCGGAGCTGGTTGGCATCGTGTCCAGCGTCCGTCTAACCTGGAGCCTCGTCCCTCACCCTCTGACCTCTCTCCCCAGATCACACAGGAGGCCGGGGAGTTCATGATCACGTTTCCCTACGGCTACCACGCTGGATTCAACCACGGCTTCAACTGCGCAGAATCCACCAATTTTGCCACCTTGCGATGGATCGATTATGGGAAAGTGGCCACTCAGGTGAGTACCCTTGAGCTGGGTGGGGGGAATGGGGATTTTGAGGCACAGGCTGACGCACCTGCCCAGCTGCTTCAGCCAGCTGTGCTTCTGGAATCGTCGGAAGTTTGACACTGACTGCCCTGGCCAGCGGTCCGGCTCCTGCATGCGCTGCTGCGTGTTCCCGCAGCCCCTGGGGTGGCTGGGCTTCACTGTGTGGTCGGCGCTGCCTGAGGACACAGTGTTGGCCTGGAGTCCCCGGGATGGGGCTTTGCAATGGGCACCTCACTGCTGAGCGCCCTCAGCCACAGGGACACGTGGTCCCATCCCCACGAGCGGCTGCCCGCTGCCTCCTTGCACTGACCGGTTCCCGGGCCGCACCCGTACCCGCCTTCCTGCGATGTGGCGCCCCCTGGAGGCCATGTCATCTTCCCTGGACTTGCTGTGCTGGTCTCTGAGACCCGCGGTAGCCGGGAGGCTGCGTCCGAATGAATGAAGCCCGTCCTCACGCCCTCGGTGCTTCCAGCCCCTTCTCCCTGAGGGTTAATGACAGAGGATGCGTGAGGCCTCGTGAAAGGAACCAGACATGTCTGCCCCCAGCTTGTGTGTCTGCCTGTGTCAGCTCTCAGGGTGTGGCCTTGGGGGGGGGGGCCCTGACAGGGGCCTGGACAGATGGACAGGGCTGTGGCTCTGAGCCCCCAGAAAGTGGGGGAACGAAGGGACCTGGAGGGGATGGGGCTCCGGGCAGGGGTGACCCGCCTACCTCACAGACGCAGTTACGGCATTGAGTGCTTGCCCTGGTTTTTTCGGTGACAGCGAACAACAGCTCCTACCCTGCACTGGGGCCGTTGGCCTGATTTCTGGGTGCTTCTCCAAGTGGCACTTGGGGTGGCCCAGTCCCTCGAGCCCTGTCCTCTTCACTGCTCGACAGTGACATTCACCGACTGCGTCGTCTTCTGTGGCTACCCAGTCCCTGCCTGCTGACCCCAGAGCGCCGACCCCGGCCGAGCTGCCAGTCAGTGGCTAGTTTGTAGAAGTCGTCCGCAGGCCCTTCTTTTGATGACCTCAGGATGGCCTTGAACCTCCAGCCTTGTGACCTAGCAGAGTAATCACGAAGGCCTAGCCTTTGAGGGAGGGTATTTGGTTTTTCCTTTATCTATGTGACTGTGGCAAAGTGTCTGCTGAGGGGTTCAGGGAGGCTGGGCGGTTGTGAACTCAGCTGTGGACTTTGCCTGCATGGTGGCCCACAGCCAAGTCCAAGCCTCCAATTGAGACGTGAGCGGCCGGGGCGAGTCCTGGGGGTGCCGTCAGAGCCGGTGCTGTTGGGCCGGCAGGGACTGCCCAGATATTAAAAGCAATTGTGGGCTCAGCCATGTGTTCACAAACAAGTGACATTTGGGAAGTGCGGCCCGAGGTTGGGCCTCCACGCTGACATTGTTGGGCGGCGTAGCGTGAAATTACTGAACAAGCGGCGTGCAGCGCAGCGAGCCAGCCAGGGGTTCAAGGCGGGCGTCCAAGTGTGGGTGCCGCTGGCTCCTGGGCTCGGCTGGACACGGCAGGCGGCTCCGTGAGCACTGGGGCGGGGGGAGGGGGCCGCTTATCACCTGCTGGCCTTTTCTTGGGGGACCCGAGAGCATGACTGTCACTCATGTCCCCTTCTGGAGGACAGCCCCGGGACACGGCGTCCAGAGGCTGGGGCAGCAGCCGTGGCGTCAGCTGTGACTCACAGACCCACGCAGAGTATAAAGACGGCAGCCTTGAATGCAGCCTCGGCCTCGCACAGTCGGATCCTTCGACCACTCCAGGCCATGGTGGTGCCTTCAGCCCAGGGGACTTGTGCGCCGGCTCTGTGTCACACAGTGTCCTGTCGGAATCCACAGGCCCGTCGCTGCGCCTGTGTGATAAGTCCTTTGACTCCTACTCCGTCACTGCCCGCCATGGCCCAGCCCCAGCGTCCTAGCAGCACTCAGGCCTCCACAGCACAGACAGGCAGGTGGTGCTGGACCTTGTTGTTGTTGTTAGGCTCCATCAAGCTGACCACAACGCATAGTGACCCTGTGAACGACAGATCCGAAGCCTGGCCTGTGCCGACCTCCCCGTCTTTGTCCCGGCCTCTTCGGACAGTCACTGCGTCAGCCCATCTCGTTGAGAACCTTCCTCTCTGTCTCTGTCCCTTTCCAACGTGATGTCCTTTTCCAAGGGCTGGCCTCTCCTGACAGCACACACACCCAGAATGTGTGAGGCCCACGTTCCTGGCCTCTGAGGGGCACTGTGTCTGCACTGCTTCCAAGACAGAGTTGCCGCTCCTCGGCCGTCCACGGGGTGTTCAGTCCTCTCGTCCAGTGCCGCAGCTCAAAGGCGGTGATTCTGGGTCTACCTTACTCAGTGTCCAACTTCAAGATGCTTAGGAAGCAATTGAAAATACCATGGCTTGTGTCAGGTACACCGTAGTCTTTAAACTAATCTCTTTGCTTCTTAAAAACCATTTGAAGAGCTCCTCGATAGTCTCTTTCCCAGCGCAGCTTGTCTTTTTTTTTTAAATTTATTATTATTTTTTTTTCGTGCAAAAACATAAAATGGTGTTTTATTTATATTTACCTTAGCACATATTTTTTAATTGTTTTCCAATCTGATAATGGTTATTAAAGGCTACAAATAATTATGCTGATGTTCAGTCTCAATGCTTCCTTGAGCAAGCAGAGCAGACTGAAGAGTCTCAGATCATTTCAAAGAGGAAGGCAAGCTTTATGTCAGATGCATTTCACTGTTTACGGAGAAGAAGTAGCTTCTCACCATGGTGACAGTCAGGTTGCTAGTCTGGGCAAGGCCAAATATGGAAGAATGGTCTTCTGAACAGACCCTCTGAAATGAACGGCTCATGCCACCAGCAACTTTCTTCAACTTCTGATTAATTTCCCATTAAACAATTGCTTGGGGTACATCCAAACAGTTGGGATACATCCAGACAGTTCTTTTATTCATTGCTTCTTTGTCTTGCAGACAGGAGGGTCAGTCAATATTGAAAGATACAGTTTAATCCAAGCATAGGTGATGCCCACTGCACAATACACTGAGGTCAGTAACAAAGGGATGAAGGGGTACTTTAGTTTCCAGTAGGTGAAAGGAAATATAAATTCACAGCAGATTTCCAGAGGCCCCAGGCCAAGGAGGTAGAAATTCTCCATCCAATTAAAAAGAGGTTTTTCCTTTCTGAATAGAGTCTTCAGAGATGAAATACTATAGATGGTGAGTAACAACATGAGCAAAATTCTAATGGGAAGTTCTGGAGCTGTGAAGAGCAGAGGGAAGAGGGCAATCTATTATTTTTGTGTGAGTGTACCGTCAAATCAGATCTGACAGGTGCAGGAGGAGATTGTCCCTCCTTCCCCAGCAGAGCATCTGGTGGATTCGAACCGTGTGCCTCTGGGATTGTAGTTGCAGCTCCTTGCCACTAGGCCACCAGAGCTCCCCTGCAGCTTGTCTTTTGATAACTGCAGCAGCCGTGGGTGTTGATTGTGGATCCAAGTGAGAAGTTGTTCCAATGCAAGTCTGTTTCTAATCTCTCGGGATGTTGCCTGTTGGTCCAGTGTGAGGGTTTTGTTTTCCTGGTGTTGAGATGTAATCCATGTTGGAGGCTATAGTTCTTGATCTTCTGCATGAAGTGCTTCAAGTCGTCTTCACTTTTTTAAAAAAAAAATTATCTAATCGGAATTTATTGAGGCAATTCTCACTAGTCTTCTTCACTTTCTCTGAGCAAGATGGTGTCATCTGCTTACACAGGTTGTTGATGAGTTTTCCTCCAGCCTCACGCCACATCCTTCTTCATACACTCCAGCTTCTGAATGATTTACAGAGCGCACACACTGAATAGATACGGAGAAAGGATTCAGCCCCAATGCACATCTTTCCTGATTTTAAACCATGCGATGCCTCCTTGTTCTGTTTGGACAACTGCTTCTTGGTGTAGGTTTCACGTCAGCACAGTAAGTCAGAAAGACTATGGATTCTAAGCCTGAGAAACTCTTACAAAGGCCTTTTCAGACTCCCAGGCCCTGTCCATGTCCTGGTCACTTGACCTCTTTGCTCAGGAGCTACGAACCCCATAACTGGAGGACTTGGCCAGCTACACGGCGTGGAGTCCAGCCATCTGTACGTGCCTCTCGGCACTGGGGCCAGTAAACTGCATCCCTTGGGTCGGGTCTGCTGAATGCTGGCTTCTCTACAGTCTGCAAGCCCACGGGGGGGGGCTTTAAATTTTTAAAGGATTGGATTTAAAAAAAGAAGTGAAAAAGATCAAAAGGAAAATAAAGTATCACCCCTGTGACTCAACTTTCAGGCAAATCATAGCCAGGCCCGAACAAGCCACCAGGTGACAGCAGGAGGACGGCACTCACCCGGGGAGGAAGCTCAGGAAGCAGGAAGGGACACAAAGACAAATGGGAATGAGCATCCCAGGGAGGGAGTGGGGAGAGTGCTGACCTTGTGGGTGTTGTAATTAATTAACGTCATAATACAGACTGTGTGTGAAGAGTTTAAATCCACTCAGTGGCACCTCAAGAAAGGTCTAAGAACCCATTTACTTCTGAAATGTTTACTTCTGAAAAAGCAACTATTGACAGTCCTATGGTCTGTAGCTCTCCTGTGACACACACATGGGGCACCCAGAGTTGGAACCAGCAGCAGTTGATGGTTGTTGGCTTTGCCCACAACCTCAGTGGTGTCTTTAACAGCTAAGACTGTGTGGCCACGAAGTTTAAATAAGGACCCTCCCTACCTCACAGGGAGGGCCCTCGGCCAGAGGGTCAGCGTGTTGGGAGGATGCAGGCCTCCCCACCAGCCCTGAGGCCTCTGACAGCTGTGTAGTGCTGTCACATTTGTGTGTTCCTGGTCCCTGACCTTCACCCCCAGGCTGGCATTGCTTCACCCAGTGCCCAGAAGCCCAAGGGGCCACCTACGCTGCTGCCCAAAGGCCAGTGGATTCGTCCATCTTCGCACCACACCCCAAACTCCAGCCGTGAAATGGG